TTAGAATAAAAAATATATTCCCTATACATAATAAATGGAATAACTCAATAGTATAGATAACTACTCCCAGCCCGCATCATATACATGATAAACACATTTTAATTCAGCAAAAAATGATGAAAGAAAAATAATTATTAAATTAATACTGTTTTTTTTTTTTATATAAAGGTAAGAAACTTTTTTGTATTTAAATAATAGGTATTTAAATAAAAATGTACACATTTTTTGTGATTGTTTTCGGAGCGTAAGAAATAATACAATTTCACTTTATTACAAGTTATAAGGTATAACATAACCAACATAGTACTAAGTCATTCAATCAAATAAAATGTTCAAGAATCTTTTACAATATTTTAAGAAATCAACGTTTCTACAATGGTGTGTCATCGCTATTATAATAGTTTTAGTGTCTCTAAACTGCACATTAACCTGTAAAGGCATTCTTAACGGCGGCGGCGGACCAATTTACAATCATAGGTATAATTATAAATAGACTAAATATACTTAAATCGATAGTCATTTAGGCCTGGAGATATTCGAAGAACACATTATAGCATTTCCTTCATTAATTTTTAATGTTGTACTGTACGCAGTGCCATTAACCGGATGAATGATGGTGGTGACTCCAGGCGCGATTAAATAATGACGTTTACTTTTAAAATCATTTTTTTTTTTAACTTTATCTACACAACATGCCAAAATACATTGCCAATGGCCGATATAGCTATAAGTAAAAACAGAATACCCTCGGCTGGTCCTTGTTAGGTAAGTCGAAGCATGACGAAACGCGTGTTGTATTTTTTTCCCCGATTTTATTTAGAGTTTTCCGCCATCGACGTTGTTTCCTATGTACGTATAACATCACCATTGTCGGCATAATGCTACATATAGAAATATAAGTATTAGGTAAATTTTGTTGAAATATGTCACGACAAAATATGTCCATCAATGTATATTGCGCAATTTATCTGCCGTTTGTACGCGCAATGTTCCTGCTTTTTGTGTCAAATATGTATTATTTTTGTGCAAATATTATATTATGTGGCGGGGGTGTGAATGCTACCTGTGTATACATGCCGTATATTTATTATTACACAACAATCTGTTCGAAATTGCGCAATGGATCTATTATAGTGGGATTACTGGTCTAAAAAAGTAACAGATACGGTTAAACATAACGAACTTTTATGAGATAATCTATGACACATCGTATTATTAATGTCTCAAACGTTCCCAATAGAACATTACCCTCGACCAGTGTTGTAATAGGTATAGATATGAAATGATACATAAAAAAATAAATAATATTACCTACATTTTAATTTATTGATGTAAATACATAAAAAGTATATGTTTTTCTTTGTATTATGAAAACATCACGAATAATATTAAAATAAAGTATAACCTAATTTCATGGTTACTTTTTCTTTTAATTATTAAATTCAGTTGAATAAAACGTAAGTAGTTACCTATTAATGAAGAAACTTTGTTTTCGATTAACATTGATTTTATCATTACAATGTTAACAAATTTATAAAATATGCGTAAATCTCATCTATAATGTGTTCAAAAAAATTTAAAGAAATAATAATAATTATTCGCGTCATGTGCAATTACCTTGTTGTTACTTGTTAATATTACTATTACATACTATTACAACACATACCTAGGTACTGAAACAATGATATTAAATTAGGCTTGGATTTTATAATAAATACTTTTTGACGGGGAGTATAATAAAAAGATAATTCATATTTATAAATTAATTTCGCATCATTCTAATTGTAATGAAGTAAATATGATTTTTCTTTTCTTTCTAAATATTTCCCCTAAATTGAACTTGTTCGCTAATTTTTGCATCATTTTTAAAATAATTTTCACAAAAATGTAATATGTTTCTTTAATTGTATTTTATTAACCATATTACCTACATATTATTGCTAGAAATAAACACAATTTTAGTGTTAAGTCGTCGAAATTATTTAATTTTTTGTCGAAATAATGTAATCAATGTAACCTATTAATTGATTTGTAAATGGAATAATTATCGAAGTACAGATTATTGTAATTGAAATTTAACGTGTCCGTTTTTAATTTTAAAATAGCAAATAAAAATATTTTTTTTTATCAAGCTTAAAATATTAAATACCTAAGTGTCTTTTAATTTTTTTAGCAATTATAATTTATAATAAATACTTTTTTAACGATTTATTTAGATATAAAAATCGAGTTCTAATAATAAGCATTCACAGTCGAATTAAATATACTGAGTGAATTATAATTATATATAGTTAGGTACTGGAACGATCGAGAAGCTAGTTCGCGATGACTAATGCAATAGGTATACTTGCAGAACATGTTAGTTTAAGTTTTTAAATATTTTTAAACGCATCGAATGTAAATAGTAATAATATAATAACTGTTCGGTTAGCCACTCGGCGCCACACGTCTTATACTGTCGCGCAATAATACCATCAAAACATAATAATAATATTATTCATATGGTGTTAGCCCGTATTGTAATGTGTCTAAGACTGGTTGTTTCCTGAATTCTGAAATTCCATTACCACGGACTACGGTCCACGGCCTCGTGAGGCACCTCCACCGTTACTATCGCGCAATGCCGTCGGTATTTTGTGCGAGGGCGGCCGTCGTAACAAAGTGAAAGTAAAAGTATATTGTAAATCGCATTCGATATAAAATCATGGCAACGTCGTAACACACATACATCTTGGCTATATCATACACCTGCAGTTTGCTATAGAGGAATGTATATAGGTACTATATATGCTTAAGACGGCTTGGCAACCTGGTGGTGTATAGTTGTATAGATATACTATTCTTAAAGTCGTTGCCGTCACGAACCAAGGACACCCATCGCATACATGATACATATTATAGCTGTGGGGCGATACCCATTTCATAATTAGTCGAAAATCGTTATTTATTTATTTATTATTATTTTTCTTATTTTTTTTTTTTTTTTTTACATACGAGATGATATTATTTTATGTACTGTAAAATTTGATACAATAAATGTATATCGCATTATAAATTATAATCCATTACATACCTACGTAAGACTCACCATCATTATTATATTACATTTATCGTTATTATGTACAAAATAGCACTTAAGATGAATATTATTAAGTTTAGGTACCACATAATTTAGTGTATAGCGAACAATTATTACTTGATGAATAGTTAAGAACTTAATTGACATACCTGCAGCAGCAATACACATAGGCGTGTGCACAATGCACAGATAAATAACGTTTGCCCATTATTATTATTATTTTTTTTTTTTTTTTGTATTCTATCTTTTCAGTTTTCCTACACATGAGTACATAGGTTAGTGAATAGAAATTTAAGAACATTGTTACTACTTCTATAAAAATGAATAACAAATATAATACTATAAATAGAAAATAAATCGTTTATGGATAAACTACTAGGAAAATCGGAAAATATTTACTCTGTTCGAAAATCTTGAATTAATATGGAATATAGATAAAAAGTTTGTTGATTCTATCGTCAAAAGTTTGTTTGATATCGTATATAACATGAAATCCAACGACTCAGGGCTCGTATGGCAAATCCCGGTGAAAATTTTGATTTATTTTGTGGTAAAACTTACACTACATACTCTATTCTGTTTAATGTTTTATTAAAATTGTTATCCTTAAATATTCACACAAACATATTATAATTATAAACAATTAGAACAAAACTCCATATTTACTGATAAAATATAAATGTACACATCAATTAATATTTTATTATCGATCACTTATTAGGTACTAATATTATTCGTTCACAATTTAATTAAAAAACAAAAATCAAAATATTTTTTTCTTTAACTTATCAGACACAAAAAATATTATGTTATTTTAATTTTATATCTTTAAAATCCAACGTGTTTACTACTTTTTTTCTAAGTCGATTGTAGCCAGATCAGTCATTTTTTTTTAAGAAATTTTTTTTTTTTTTTGAGTAGTTTTTAATTATAAGAAAAGTTTCTTTCAGTAAATACAGAGATTACTGATATTGTTAGTACGATTAAAAGAGAAACTTCGATGTCAAAAAATGTACCAAGCATTGTCTTTAAGAAAGTTAGTGCTTGTACTATATTAGAATCTTTTTTAATTGCATTTCGAAATACTTATAACTCTTCAAATAATTTAGAAGCAACTATATCACTAGAATTACCATCAATTAAATAGTTCTGCAAATCCAAGCAGTTTTCATCGAGGTTTATTACCTATTACTCAAAGTTCACCAATATGGTACAAAACGCCAAATTTGTCATTATAGATTTTAAACTCCATAAATCTTAGTTATAGACTATAATATTATTATGTAAAATAAGATAGACAGCAGCCTCGGCCAGGGATACAATTACAAATGATAAATGACACGCATATATACGATTGTTATTTACACTGAAACATGACTAAATAATACATATCTAAAAAATTATTTTTCCAGTTATTTGTTATCAATAGGTATACATTCTTGACGTACTTCTAACATCTAAGCACGAGTACCTAGACCCCCCCCCCCCCCCACTATTACACCGGTTCTGTAATGACTATAGTATAAGAAAACGCTGTTAACTTACTTGTATTTATGTATTTAATTTAAGAAATAAATAAAAAATTTAGTGGTAATTAGAAGTATACTTACATAAGATACAAATTATCTAGGTACTATTGATAATAATTTTAATTCAATAAAGATAATTCATTGATATTATCTAAATTGTTTTAATGATGCTTTCTAATTTTGTATCATTATTTACTTCAGTAAAAAATGTGGCCGGTTTAAATATAAGACCCATTAAATAATATTAAAACTTTCATATAAATTGTTAAAATAACTGACCAAAGACTACCATAAACACAATATTAATATACCTATCTTATATGTAGCTAGAGAAAATAGATATTTTGTAATTATTTTAAAAATATACATGTGGTAAACAGAAGTACACGTACCTTGTGCTGTTGTTGTTCCCACAAAAGCCAATAAAGTAGCAGAGAAAATGATGACCAATGCCGACATTGTAAAACTGTGTTCTGGATACATAACGTTTTGTTTCATACTTTTAAACAAAACTTAGAGTACGTCATGCAATAAATATTATACACAGGTGTTTTCCTCGATTCCGATGATGAATCCAGTACATTTTATAGTGCAGATTATTTCGTCATAAACTTGCGGTGGCGGTGACACCATCTGTGTTTTTATGTGGCGTTTGCTTGTCGGCGAACATTGTGAACTTATGTGTCAGCGACAATGACCTTACGGAACTCTTGACCACTAGTGATATTAATAATACTGATAGTACGATCAATTCAAATAATAATTTACAAACAAAACAGAAAAAAAAACTATAAGCTCACACTAACACTTGTGACGATATACGGTGACTTTTATATTAAATAAGAGAGAACAGAGACAAAATATCGATTATTATTATGATGTTTTCTTACGGTTGATGTTTTTAGTGTACAGTAAAGTGATTATTTCTTGATCGGTAAAGTATTTTTGATTGTACTCACAAGACACACTAATGGTTATATTACAAAAACAATAAATTCACACACGTTACATTCAAATCATGTGCAGAAAATATAACGGATAACGTAAAGGTAAGTGTTACTGTTCTAGAGAAAGCGCGAATATTATTGAACAAAATAATTATTTACCGTCGTCAGGTGTACACTAAAAAAACTTCTTTGGATCGCCATACGCTGGTTAAGACTGCAGAGTCAATGTCTGTACGGTGTAATGGTCGAGCGCCGCGGCGGTGGAAGTGGCGGTGGCTGAGGTAGTACCGGCGGCGGTGACGGTGGTGGTGGCCGTCGAGGCCGAAGCGTTGTGTAACAGCGTCGCACGCCTTCGCTATCGTCGTTCGGTCGCCGACATCGAGAAACGAAAAGAGAAGGAGCATTCAGGTATCTGCTGTTGGTATAATAATGTGAAAATTTTATATCAATATTATTATTATTATTATTATTATTATTATTATTACTATTACTACTGAGTATTGCTATATTACTATTATTATTGTCATTATTATAATGTGCCCGAATAAAATACAATGATGAAAGATTAAAATTTATATAGAAAAGGCTGCAGCAGTGGCGATGACAGCAGTGGGTCTCGGTTGAACCGATGTTACTAACCTTTATTACAACTATAATATTATAGATACGCGACAGAAACTGCAGTGACTCGAGTATTATAATGATATATGAAAGACTGTAAAGCACACGATATGTGTAATTGTATCTTGAGTAGATACCTGTGCGTACGAATACAGCGACGACGACGACAATGACGAGAAGATTTTCTGCAGCTCGGGGAAGGAGAAGGACTTAATATTTATGGTCACTACACGTAGTTAACATTATAAAAATAGAGAAGTGGTAATACAATATTATTCAGATGTATATATTATGACGTGTACCACCCAACTGTATTATTTTATTATATAAGATTACACATTATTATTAATATATACGAAAAACAAATCCATTCCAGCAAAATCTTATTACCAAATGTCAGACAACATTATTGCCGTACGAGTTGATATAAGTACATATTATAGATATATAATGAGCAGACATATTTAATTATATATATAATGTGTAAACACCAAACGCGTTGAATTTTCTTTCTTATATATGTAGCCGCATTTATTTTCTATTTGTTTTAATATTAACACATTTTCATTCACTATATTTAACTATTTTTTTATAAAAGAAAATGTTAAAACCTTTTAAATATATAAACCTAAATTGATATAAACTTTTGAAAGCCCTCGCCAACATATAATATAATACTTAAAGTTCTCAAGTTTTATCATAGAGAAAACATTTTGTTTCTATGACCATTCAGTCAAGCATTATGAACTACTATAGTCTATAGGTGTACTATCTGGAGTACCATTTGAATCGTAATTGTGCTTTCACATTATATTTTGATCATACGGCTTCGGCTCTTGTAAGTTTTAAGTACCTACAACAAGGAGGTATTTTATTAAACAATAAAAGATGACTTAAACCAAAATTAAAGACAGTAAAAATTATAAAATATCATCTAAGTATTTTATTATAAATAGAATGAATAAACCGAAAATGTTAAATGAATACTTTTAATTTTTTTCCTCAATAATAGTTAACGTTTAACTCTATTTTAATGATAAAATGTATAAGCTATACAAGTGGAAACTTATTTTGTAAATACATTAAAATTTGCTGTCAAATTCACTTTAATATATACAATAAATTGTTCATGTTTAAAGCATTGTACATATCGATAATAATTTAATTACTATTATTAAAAAATTCACTTAACCAAAAAAAAAACGGATGCATTTGATTTTAGATATACTCGAACGCATACAAATAATGTACGTATTTTAAATTTCGCATTAAGATTACATTTTTACAAAGAACACAATAATGATGAGTGTACCCTGTTCTAAAAAAATAATGTATTTTAACTATTTTTAATATTAATAGACTATTTTCTAAATTTGTTCTATCAATACATTTTTATCACACAAAAATATGTAAAATAACTATATAATTTTACTATAGTATTTAATTTTACTATAGTATTTAATTTAATAGTCTTAAACGATAAAAGTGTAGTATTTCTATCTTATATTTAAAACAAATTCGAAAATTAACTTTAAAACATCATTAAAGAAAGCAATGACTGTAAAGTGATTTGTCCAGCTCTTTGAGGTATATAGTATAATTACCAATACTTTTTAGCGTTGATGTCCAATTATTTATTTTACACTTGAATAACCGGTATTATATGTATGAGATAATTATCAATAAAGTGAAAGAAGCAAAATTATTGTAAGAAATGACAATATATTAGAATACAAAACTTCGGCATAAAAAATGTAAAAGTGGTTGGAAGCAATTAAAGATAAAATAATAAAATTTCAATAATTAAATAATTGCAGTAATCTATTACTCAATCAATAGAACTGATAATTTAAAACACAGGGATAATGTTCGTAATATATATAGGCATAATATATATTATTATGTATTTAATATATTTATATATAGAAGTAATTTAAATGACGAAAAATATATTTAATTAAAACTACAAGAAAAAATGAACGAAATAAAATTGTTGATTTTTTATTAATTTTCTATAAACATAAAGCAAATTAAAGAAAATCTTTAAACTTTTAGAACTAACAAAATATATAATCGAAAAAATATAATTGAATTGTAGCATGAATGTGACATAATGTAAATATTTTAAATAATTTTAACTAGACGCTGTAACTAATGGCCCTTGCTGCCGAGTTGTACTAAAGATAAATAAAAAAAAAAAACATATTTAAGTTCCAATATCAATATAATTTTATAACTATGTGTATATAATTTATTGAAGAATTAATTTTTAGCTCTAAAAATTTTACAATCATTACAAGTCAACTTTAATATTTTCGTATTTTAATGAATATACGTGTACCTATAATAATATCTGTTATGAATAAGTGTAAATATTAAAAGAATATTATATGTGTTGAATGTCTAATCTATATAAATACCTACTGAATAAATAATAAAGGCGTTTTCGTTTTCTCTACCCTATAAGGTATTTATTAGAAATATTAAATAAATTAATTTTATATAAATTAGAAATGTATAAAATGTAAAACAAAGGGAGACAAAATTCAAAAATTAAGTATGGACAGTGTGGTGCACTTATCTTAATTACTTTAATTTAACATGGTGATATAATATTATTTATTATATTTTATATTATTATTATACCTTTTAATGCATTCAAATAATAACTGAAATGACCAGTTTTTTGCATTACTCAAAATCATATTATAACTAATAATTTAATTCATTATGACATTGTGAGCATATGACTCACATACTTATCAACTAAAAACCACTCTTAATAGATTAAAGCAATAACTCTGTTTACTTAAAACTAAATGCCTTATGCATTTATAAATTAAATTTTAGGAATATCCTATTAAATTTCTACAGATTTAAGCATAATCTAGCTAAGATAGACCACTTGAATAAAACCCGTTATAAAAATAATATTAATATTTGTGCACCTATTTTTAAAAAACAACTTGGCCTAAAAAGCTATTGAAATATGTAGACAACTTACTATCAATATTTTTAATTTTAAAAATGTTTATATATTTAAAAACTATGTACTTGTCGACTATAGATCTTTAATAAGTCCGTTTAAAAATGAAAAAAATATTATTATATTCTTTGTTTAAATATCAATGCCGGTTTATTTGTGTTATAATTATATTATTTACTTTTATTATTATTGATATTGTATTGAACTCAAACATATATACCCCCCCCCAATAAGTTCTATGCTTAAAGGGGAGTTGCAAACTTATACCTTGTATATTTTTATTTATTATTGTGAAATTGTATATTTTTTTTACTAAATAAACTATTATTATTATTATTATTATTATTATAAACAACTTATGAACTAATTCTTACCAATATACGGTAAGTCAATATCGTTTCAAAGGTTAATAACAATAATATATGAGTGGCCTGGTGTGACGCGGGGTTGGCCTCAGTCACCAATATATTCTGAGGTCAAGCATCCCGGAGTTGCTAGCTCTCAAATGGGTGACCACCAGAGTTCTTACTAACAAATCCATGGCACACACATATACACACATGTGTTTCAATCTTACTAACCAAACCTTACAAACAAACTTACACAAAAAACTTACTGTTCTTATCCATAGCTAATAACCTTAGTTACCGGATTTAAAATAAGATCAATAAAAAAATAAATAAATAATAATAATATATGATATCAATATATTAAATTATTATAATAGCTAAATATAATAAATAATATAATATAAATGCCATTTTTTGGAAAAATAATTCAACCAACCGTGGTATTACTTATAGTAATAACAATACCAAAATACATTTTATGAAATGTGCTTACTACTTAATAATAAAGGCTGAAAACTTTCTTTACTTAGTTTTTTTTCATATTAGTTTTTAAATTCAAATTAAACATATATGTATAATAGTGATTCAATTAATGACGAGGTAAACCTGGTAAACTCAACTCTTACTGTAAAACAAAGAAGTTACCTTAAATAATCGATTTATCTACTGGAGAAAAGTACTGGAATTTTTTTTTTATATATAATACCAACTAGATTTAATTTAATACCACAAACCTCTATCGAAGTTGAAAATCAAAGAATTTTTATTGTTCTTAAAAATATAAAGAGAAAAAATAACAATAATAAAATTTTTGTAAAATCGATATATTATTATCACTTCACTTAATATCTAAAACTATCAATGCACTTTTGATATTTTTAAATAATTTTTAAAATTGGGCCCATTATACTATATTTTCTAAAAAACTTATCGATATTAAAATAAATATATTATTAACTACAAATAATTATTATCAATAAGGACAGTTATTAGCAATGAGGAACCTTATATAAAAATTATTTTAAGCTTTGTATTGAATAAATATGTACTAAATAAAATATAAACGTATAAAATCAATTAAAAAGCCAAAATACTCTAAAAATTATAATATTATATTCGAGGAATAGTTCAAGTCTCTATAATCATTAATTTTTAATAACAACAAAATAATAAGGATTAGTTTTGTCAAAAACGGATTTGTCGTTTTTATTTATTTTTATTCTTGATTTTTGGACAAGTATAGTACTATAAATTAAATTTTAATGTAATAACTATG